TCTCTGGGTACTTCCCTTAAGGACTTTCGCCCTATTGCCCTCACAAGTTGTGTCTGCAAACTCTTTGAACGTATGGTTAACGTTCGTCTGATGTGGTTCCTAGAACACCATCACCTCCTCTCCCCTTCTCAATTTGGTTTCCGCAAGTGCCGCAGCACGACAGATGTCCTGGTGAACTTGGAGGTCTATATTCGTACTGCTTTTGCTGCGAGGACCTCCGTTGTTGCCGTCCTTTTTGACCTGGAAAAGGCTTACGACACCACTTGGCGATATCATATTCTATCTCAACTTCATTCTTTTGGCCTTCGTGGTCATCTCCTTCTCTTTCTCCGCAGCTTCCTCTCTCGTCGTTCCTTTCGGGTGCGACTTGGTACCGCTCTCTCTGCCTCTTTTCAGCAATACGAAGGTGTGCCCCAGGGTAGTGTTCTGAGCACTACTCTTTTTCTGGTTGCCCTCAATGGTCTTCTTTCCTCTCTTCCTTCAGGTGTCTTCTCCGCTCTCTATGTCGATGATCTTACCCTTTGCTGTCAGGGTGATGATTCGCCTCTCCTTCAACGCCGGCTTCAACTTGCAATTGATGCCGTGTCGTCTTGGGCCACCGATCATGGCTTCAAGTTCTCTACTTCTAAGACTTGTGCCATGACTTTTACGCGGAAACGGGTCGTTCTTCGTCCCTCTTTGTCACTTTATGGTCATCCCCTTGAATATAAAGATTCCGCGAAGCTTTTGGGGTTATTCCTTGACACTCGTTTGTTTTGGTCTCCCCATATCTCTTACCTCCGTGTTGAGTGCTCTAAGGCCCTTACCCTCCTTCGGGTCTTGTCCCATACTTCTTGGGGAGCAGATAGGCGCACTCTCCTTGCTTTACATTCCTCTCTCGTCCTGTCTAAGCTTGATTATGGTTGCCCTGGTTACTCATCTGCTTCTCCTTCTACTCTTCGCCGTCTTGATGCTTTGCACCATACTGGGTTGCGCCTCAGTTCTGGTGCCTTTCGTTCGACTCCCGTCCTTAGCTTGTATGTTGACACTGGCTTCCTGTCTCTCCAAGACCGCCGTGATCGCTACTGTCTTCGCTATCTTGCGCGGTCCTTACAACATCCTTCCTCTCGCCTCTGCCGTGCTTTAACTTTTACCCCTCCTGCGGTTCCTGTTCCTCTTCACCACCTCCCTCTTTCTGTCCGGTTATCTCGCCTACAGGATTCTCTTTCCGTTCATATTTCTAATGTTTCTCCTCGTGTTGTTCCTTCTTTGCCCCCGTGGAGAGTCCCTCTTCCGCGGTTTTGTACTTCCTTGACCTGTATCACTAAAGCTTTTACCCCTCCTACGGTTCTAAAACGCCTTTTCCTTGAGCACTTTTCTTCTCACTCCCGCTCCATTTCTGTCTTCACCGATGGGTCTAAGTCTGCGGACGGTGTTGGCTACTCTGTTGTTTTTCCTGATCGCACTTATATGTGTCGCTTACCTCCGGAGGCTAGCATCTTTACAGCGGAGCTTTATGCTATTCTCTATGCTCTTCGTCTCCTGCTTTCTCGTTGTCAGTCTTCCTTTGTAGTTGTTGTTGACTCTCGTAGTGCCCTCATGGCTCTCGGGTCCTTTAATCCGGTTCATCCAGTAGTTGTCGAGATCCAGCTTTGGCTGTTTCTTGTTCACAGTAAATTTAAGTCGTTTGAGTTTTGTTGGGTTCCCAGCCATATTGGTGTGTCTTTAAATGAGCGTGCGGATGCTGCCACCAAGGAAGCTGTCCGCTCTTGTCCCGTCTCTCGTAAAGGTATTCCATATTCCGACTTTTACCCGGTTATCCATTCCTCCGTCCTTACCCGTTGGCAGGCTTCTTGGTCGTCTGTTACTGGTAACAAACTACGTACTCTTAAATGTTGTGTTTCCTCGTGGCCGTCCTCCTACCACCGTAACCGGCGATGGGAAACAGCTCTGGCGAGGTTGCTATTGGCCATAAATAAATAAATAAATAAATAAATAAATATGTTTATTCAGGTAAGGTACATACATACATACAAGTGATGTTACATTAATGGATTGATATATAGATAGAGCTAGTACATACAATGCCTAAAGCCACTATTACGCAATGCGTTTCGGGCAAGAAAAACATTAACATCTAGAACTTAATACTAATTGAGCATAAAGAAAAAAAAGTGTTGAGAACAAATACAAATAAAGATAAAAAGAAAAAAAAAAAAAGGGGGGGGAACATGACTGAAAAAGCAGCACAAATACAATAGATTGACAAACAGTGTTGATTAAACAAAAAAAATTACAGACATGGGTTGACAATAGAGGAGTGAGGTAGGTTACAGGGAATTTATTAGGTAGTGTTTAGTTTTTATCTTAAACTGGTTGAGAGAGGTACAGTCTTTAACATGGTTGGGAAGGTCATTCCACATTCTGGGTCCCTTGATTTGTAGAGCATTTCTAGTTTGATTAAGTCGTACTCTAGGAATATCAAAACTGTATTTATTTCTGGTGTGGTGCTCATGGGCTCTGTTACAACCTTCTATGAAGCTTTTGAGGTCAGGATTGGCATTATAGTTTAGCGTTTTATATATGTATAATACCCAAGAGAGAATGTGCAGTGACTTAATATCTAACATATTCAGAGATTTGAGTAAGGGTACCGAGTGATGTCTGGTGCCAGAGTTGGATATTGTCCTAATAGCAGCTTTGTGTTGGGTAATAAGAGGACGTAAATGATTTTGGGTAGTAGAACCCCAAGCACAAATACCATAGTTGAGGTATGGATAGATAAGGGAGTAATAGAGAGTAACCAGGGCAGGGCGGGGTACATAATATCTGATCTTAGAAAGAATGCCAACAGTTTTTGAAACTTTTTTTGATATATTTAGAATGTGACCCTGGAAATTCAGCTTGTGGTCGATGAGAATGCCAAGGAATTTGCCATCTAATTTGTTACAAATTTGGGTATTGTTTATTTTGAGATTTATCTGATTAGAGGATTTATTGCCAAACAGAATATAAAACGTTTTGTCAATGTTAAGGGTGAGTTTGTTGGCGGTTAGCCAAAGATGGACTTTCTCTAGCTCAGTATTTACTGTGGCATTTAGAGCAAGGGGGTCATGACTGGAGTAAATGAAGGTTGTGTCGTCAGCAAATAGAATTGGTTTGAGGTGTTGGGAGGCATTTGGAAGGTCATTAATGTAGATGAGAAAGAGGAGAGGGCCAAGTATGCTGCCCTGAGGAACACCAATGTTGAAGGGTAGGGTGGGAGAAATTGTATTATTCACAGAAACATACTGGAGCCTGTCAGTATGATAAGATTTGAGGTATTGCAGGGAGTGTCCTCTGACTCCATAATGATGTAATTTAAGAAGAAGGTTTTGATGGTTGACAGTGTCAAAAGCCTTACGCAGGTCCACAAATAACCCAAGAGGAAACTCCTTTTTATCAAGAGCTGCGTGCCATACTCGCTTAACCCATGGTCACTTGATGGAGCGCCGCCCAGCTCCTTATTGTCCTAGTTGCATTGTCCCTCTTACGGTCGTGCATGTCCTTCTTGAATGTCCTGACTTCCAGGACGAGCGTATGTCTTGCTTTCCGACCGCCCCTCGCGGTCACCTGTCCCTCAATAGAATTCTTGGTGACTCGGATACTTTTGATATCGTTCGCCTTATGCGTTTTTGTTCTCGTATTGGCATCCTTGGTGATATTTAGCGCCCTCTGATTATTCTGCGCATTTGATGGTGCTACATAGCCTTCCCGGTTTGGTGCCTTCTTTTGATAATTACTTACTTACTTACTGGTAACATATGCAATTAGGTCATTCAGTCTTTTGTTGATGCTACGAATGTTCCAACTGAGAAGCCTAATGGTTCTTGTGTCAACAGCAGCCATCCTCTTGGTGTTGTTCCTCCCTGGGACTGGTGGTCCCATTGTTGTCCTTGTCCCACATACACAATGTGTCAATAAGTGACTCTACGACGTAAAGAGCCACACCAACCTGGCGTTTGGTATAGTCAGGAACATCTGGTGACATCATCAGTTTCTTGATCACTGAGCAACTCGGGATGGTCCGCGAGTGAATGCTCTCTGTAAGTCGTATGGCATAATTACTGTCACTCAGAGTATTATCTTTTTCATTCTCGTACTTGGCTTGAGCGCGTTCCTTAAGGTCATGAATCATTTTAAAATATGCTGATGCAGATCGACTTCCTTTTCCAGTTAATGTTTCTGTGTCACTATCACTGCATGTACTGTTTAATTTACGTACTAATTCATTATAAATTTACATTATGTCTTTTCGGGTCGCTTGGACAGGGGCATTATTAAATGTTACGTGTTTTCCTACGCGTACTAGCCACTATAGTACGCGTAGCGTTTCAGGCAGTAAGTGACGGTTTTGTGTGAGAATAATTTTGTTGACAGTTTACATTTGGTTAGGTCTACATCAGAAGATAATGATAAATTGTTCACAATATTGACTACGTGCACGTTCTTTTAGTTCCCTGAATGCGCGGTTAACTTCAAGAAATGCAATGAGCGACTCAATTTTTTTTGTGTGTGAGCTCTATAATGCTCAGCAACATGTAGTACATGATCATGCATGGATTGAAACAGAACAGCAGAAGTAATTTTAACTAAATAAACAGAAGATTAAAATTTTCTTCAAATTTATTGGTTTCTTCAAGTTTAACTGCTGATATCTGTAATGAACTTCAAGTTTTCTTTAAGTTCATGACGGATATCAGCAGTTAAACAAGTTGGTCAATAATTAATATTGTTTGAAAATAGACAGACATAGGCTGACATTTAGGGGGATAGGTAGGTTACATGGAGTTAGGAGAGAATTAGGAATTTATGGAATTAGGAGAGACTGATCGGACCTTATCTTTCCTTGGGTTGGGGAGCTACAGTATTACAATTTATGATAACCGGTAACAGCACTTCTTGCACTGCAACAACCATGTATGACAATATAAAATTATACATTAAAAGTAATGAAGATAATTTCAGTATTGAATATTAGAGGGTAAGGGAAGTGTTGGTGGGCGGGGAAGTATCCGGATTGTGAGCGAGAACAGTGTAGCAGGAGGGCAGGCAGTGAGCGCTGCACCACTGCTGACTCCATCATCATGACTCTCAGACCTGCTGCCATATTACGTCTTCGATCTCCCATTGTCGTGTGAGTATATTGTGGCTTGATGTCCATGATATAAGCTCGTCAGCTGGTGCTGAGACTGGTGTATGCTTGTGTAAAGTACTTTGCTTGATCTAGCCGAGGGATTGCCATGACTGGCGAAGTGTAGCGGCATAAACCGGTTCATTAACACTATTACGCAGACGTGTCTATTTAACGTGAAATTATAATTGTATGATGTTAGTGGTTAGTGGCATTTCGGGTAAATCAGGTAAAATGTGCAGACAGTGCCCAGCCCCCTATGCCATGTTAATATCCATTCAGATGCAGAGTTATTTATTTCTTACTAACAAGCTGGCTTGGTATATCTTGACAGTTTTAATAACTAGAAAATGAGCGCTGTCAAAAATCCTGTGTATAATTTGAGCACACGTAGGTGGATACGTGTCATTGTACAGAAGATGGTTCACATAAGCTTACCTAACATCCTAATCCAGTTTAACCAAAAAAAAAAAAAATTCAAATATTTATTCATGTAAAGTACATACATACAAGTGAGATACAAAACGTTGATGATTTTTAGATAGAGCTAGTACATACAATGCCTAAAGCCACTATTACGCAAAGCGTTTCAGGCAGGGAAAACACCAAGACTAAAACTTAAGACCAATTGAGAAAGTATAAATTGTGTTGAGAAAATCAAAAAAACGTAAAAGGGGGGGGGTGAACATGGCAGAAAAAATTGCAAAAATACAATTTGGTCAACAAACAGCATTGTTTAAAATAGACATGGGTTGACATTTTAGGGGTAAGGTAGGTTTCAGGGAGTTAATTAGGTAGTGTTTAGTTTTTATCTTAAACTGGTTGAGAGAGGTACAGTCTTTAACATGGTTGGGAAGGTCATTCCACATTCTGGGTCCCTTCATTTGTAGAGCATTTCTAGTTTGATTAAGTCATACTCTTGGAAAATCAAATAGTTATTTGTTTCTGGTGTGGTTACCTTGAGGTTACCTTGAGGTGCTTCCGGGGCTTAGCGTCCCCGCGGCCCGGTCGTCGACCAGGCCTCCTGGTTGCCATTACAGTTCAGCATTTTATATATATATATATAACACATGAGAGGATGTGCGTGACTTAATATCCAACATATTCAGAGATTTGAGTAAGGGTACCGCGTGAGTAATGTCTGGGGCCAGAGTTAGATATTGTCCTAATAGCAGTTTTGTGTTGAGTAATTAGAGGACGTAAATGATTTTGGGTAGTAGAACCCCAAGCACAAATACCATAGTTGAGATAAGGATAGATGAGTATTAGTGTCACCAGGGCAGGGCGAGGTACATAATATCCAGTCCGTCTAATTACCACAAGCTACACAAGCTTCAGAAAGCTTCCTGGCAATACGTTAGTAATGAATAAATGATATATTTACTCATTATAATGTTGGTGCTGAATGTACAACACGAAAAAACATAATTTTAATCTGAAAAAGTATCTTTATATAAAGAAATTAGACGAAAATAAAGAGCTGGTGACGCCAAATCAAGTCGACGATCCAAATGTCGGTTAGGTTAGGTTTGGTTTGGTTTGGTTAGGTTGGGTTAGGTCAACCCAACCTATCATATCATATTTATTCATTACTAACGTATTGCCAGGAAGCTTTATGAAGCTTGTGTAGCTTGTGGTAATTAGATGGACCCCATAATATCTGATCTTAGAATGCCAACAGTTTTTGAAACTTTTTTTTTTATATATTTAGAATGTGTCCCCTGGAAATTCAGCTTTTGGTCAATGAGAACGCCAAGGAATTTGCCATCTACTTTGTTACAAATTTGGGTATTGTTTTTCCTGAGATTTATTTGATTTGAGGATTTATTGCCAAACAAAATATAGAAAGGTTTGTCAATATTGAGGGCGAGTTTGTTGGCAGTTAGCCAGAGATGGACGTTATTTAGCTCAGTATTCACTGTGACATTTAGAACAAAGGGGTCAGGACTGGAGTAAATGAAGGTTGTGTTGTCAGCAAATAGAATTAGTTTGAGATGTTGGGAGGCATTTGGAAGATCATTAATGTAGATGAGAAAGAAGAGAGGGCCAAGTACTCTTCAAATCACTTGTGTTGTCCCGTCTTGAGTACTGCTCGGTACTCACTTCCCCCTTCAGAGCAGGAGAGATTGCTGAAATAGAGGGAATACAGAGAACATATACGGCACGCATAGACGAGATAAAGCACCTAAATTATTGGGATCGTCTCAAAGCTCTCCAAATGTACTCACTAGAAAGGAGAGAGATACCAAATAATATACACATGGAAAATACTGGAGGGACAGGTCCCAAATCTGCACAGTAAAATAACAACGTACTGGAGTGAACGACATGGAAGAAAATGCAGAATAGAACCAGTGAAGAGCAGAGGTGCCATGGGCACAATCGGAGAACACTGTATGAACATCAGAGGTCCACGGTTGTTCAACGTCCTACCAGCAAGCATCAGAAATATTACAGGAACAACCGTGGACATCTTCAAGAAGAAACTAGATTGTTTCCTTCAAGGAGTGCCGGACTAACCGGGCTGTGGTGGGTATGTGGGCCTGCGGGCCGCTCCAAGCAACTGCCTGGTGGACCAAACTCTCGCAAATCAAGTCTGGCCTCGGGCCGGGCTTGGGGAGTAGAAGAACTCCGAAACCCTATTAAGCAGGTATCAACCAGGTATCAAGTATGCTCCCCTGAGGAACACCAATGTTGATGGGTAAGGTGGGAGAAATTGAATTATTCACAGAAACATACTGGAGCCTGTCAGTAAGGTAAGATTTGAGGTATTGCAAGGAGTGTCCTCTGACTCCATAATGATGTAGTTTAAGGTGGTTTTGGTGGTAGAGTGTCAAAAGTCCACAAATGACGCAAATCCACAAATAACCCAACAGGAACTCATTTTTATCAAGAGCTGCATGTATCGAGTTAATCATACTAATACTGTAAGTGCATTGTTAGTGCTTTTTTTTGGGTCTGAAGCCATATTGACAAGAGCTAAGTATATTGTTTGGCTAGATAAGAGTAAAGCTGCTTGTAGATTAGTTTTTCAAATATTTTTGACAAGTTTGGCAGGATTGATATAGGTCTGTAGTTGTTAACATCAGTGAGATCACCACATTTGTGGACAGGGGTTACTCTCGCTTTTTTTTTTTTTTTATATAGAATATCTGGAAAGGTTTAGAGTTCAAGTGACTTGTTGAAGAGCAATGCAATAGCAGGGGCTAAAGATCTGGAGGCTTTTTTGTAAATTAAAGTTGGTATCTCCTCAAGGGCACTAGACTTGGTTTTAAGGGAAAGGATTATCTCATTAACATCAGTGGAATTTGCAGGCGTTAGGTACAGAGACTGTGGATAGTTACCTGTAAGATAGTCCTGAACATCAGTACTGGAAGATGGAATATCATTTGCAAGGGATGACCCAATGGAAGAGAAGAACCTATTGAACTCAATAGCAGTATCAGAGGCTGTAAGCTGACCATCGTTATTGGACAGGAGTATTGGTTTGTTATTTAAAATCTTTGATCCCAATATTTGTGAAATTGTGCCCCATGTTTTCTTAATGTTGCCCCTTGTTTGGGTAAATTTATTTTCGTAGTATTTAGTTTTGGCTCATCTAATTATTTTAAATAGCAATGATAAGTAATTCTTTTGAAAATTCTTTGGAGACGATTCCTAACCTATACTTCTTTTCAAGGTTATGTTTTTTATTAATGGATTTAAGTATTCCCTTTGTAAGCCAAGGATTGTTTAGCCTTTTAGTTGACTTGTTTCGTTAGCATAGGACAGTGGGTGTTATAAAGGCTGAGTTTTTTGAAGAAAGGATTGCACTGCTAGGTTGATGTCCCCTATGTTACTTGATTTGGACTCCCAGTTGACATTAGCAGCAGCAGCTATAAAATTGCCTATAGCAGTTTCATTGTGCAGCCTAAAGCTTATATCCTTTGTCTCTAGAGGTGGTTTGTTAGGAGAAATGTGGGGTAATGGTCTGTAGTGCTATCGATGATTATCCCTGAAGTAAGCGGAGAGGTTATGTTGGTCCAGATGTGATAGTCGTGGCAGTACTATCAGTGATTGTAGTAGGTCTAGTGATTGAGGGTATGAGAAAGCAGGAATTCATACAGTTGAGGAAGCTGGCAGCAGTAGCAACATATCACCACAGTGTAATGTAGCAATAACTAGCTAGGAGCATCCACTCAGGAATCTGGCAGGAACTAAACGACCCCCATTTTAAAGTTGAGAAGGTAAAATGCCTACCTATACCAACAGACATAAACATTCATTTCTTACCACAAAGCTATCAAACTAGCCTTATAATTTCCACAATTACTATTCTCAACATCATATTCTCAAAACATTCAGGACCTATCACAATAAGAGAGATAACTAAAGGGTTCCTACATCATCTATATAAACAATAGGTATACAAATCCCATATGATTCTGGCTCCCATATGCAACAATGGAGCCAGAGTCACACTGTATCTTGTATTACTCACTTCTCCAATATTAGTACTTAACCCCTTAAGCTGTGCATAACGTCATATGAAGTTGGACATAGAGCTCAGTTTTTAAAATTTGCTGAAACGCTTTAAAATGTTTTGTGCATAATCTACTAGCTCCAACTTTGTCTAAATGATACCAATGTAACTTGAAAACAATAAAAACAATAATTATAAAATTGAATATTGTAAACTTCAAGTTTTGAAATCGGCTGCAAAAAATATAAAATATCGCTAATTATTCATTTGGTGTTATGCTCTCAGAATAGCATATGATCTTCACTTTCATATATTTAGAATATAGGTTTTCAGTATAGTTTACTGTAAAAAAATCGTCAATATGGCATTTGAAATACTGTATACCAAAATTTAAACAACAAAAATTTATAACTCCAAACGTTTAGAATGAAAAATCAACCCTATAGGTATTGCAGAACAGACAGCTGTGCACACTGTAAAAATGGTGAGAATCGGTCAAAAACTAGATTTTTGGATACTGAAGTAAATTGAAATTTTAGTT